GCTCTAAACATAAGGCATATGTTCACTTTAAGCAACTATAAAAACGACATTGTAAAAACAAGAATGTGATAAACGTCAAAGTAGATAGGTAAGTAGCTTTCTCTTTGACTGTGTTATATTGTTAAGGACTCTCCTGATTAAAGATTTTAAGAAATTGAGAAAGATGTGAAATCACTTACACTTTTCGTTACGGTAAGGAATATATTCTCCTAGAAACAGCTAGACTGAAACAACCGAGAACCTTGCGAAATTCACTGATTGTGTGAAAGCAATGTGCAATTCGTAATCTGACTGTAGTGACTCACATTTATCACGAGAACACGACCGGTTTAATAAAAACAATTATTATTATGACCAACTGTACCAATGTTTGTTTTAATGTGCTTTTGTTTGACTGTGCTAATGACACCTATATTGCGCTTCCATTCTTATTCTTACACTTTGATTGTGACTTCGCGCGAATTCGGTTACGTTCTGTAACCAAGCTTGTATCCTGGCACGATCTCGGTATCTTTTCGATACCACGAGATCGCCAGCAAATATATCTCGACTTGGTCCATTAACTGCCTTCTGATATTTGGCTTCTCGGGGATTTTATGGATTTATTTGGTTATGTTCAACCCTCGTCTTCTGATTTACTTGGCACGTGTTTATTGGTAGCGGTGTTCATAGTTAATCTCAACTCGACACCACGCTACATGACTTTTTGCAGTATGAGTTAGTAAAACCTGCGAGGGAGCTCAAACTAATCAAGATTATATTCGTAGTTGCTTGCTTATGACCCATGGCATAGAAGAAAAGACACTAATATGATTATGACTTATCAACGCTCACTTCAAATACACACAGAGAATAGGAGGATACAGATCTCCAAGTATCCTGCAAAAATTTTCAAGAAGATAAATAAGAAAGAAGACAATAGTGGATTGTTGGAAAAGTAAATTTGAATGTATTCAGAGGTCAGCAAATCTGAGATTTCCAAGCTAGTTATTCATACTGCGTACTGTAGTTTTGAGTTCTTGGTCGTGTCTTTTTGAAGTTCTGAACTTATTGGGATTACTATTATTTTTTTATAATATTTCAAATACACGATACAATGGCGAGGATTAAAACTACTAGTCAGTATGATTGCCGAATATTGACATGAATACCTATTTCAAAGAAATATTCGTTGTCTAAAGTAGAAGTATCATATTAAATGTTTCCAACTATTACCGAGATACTTGAAAGATTTATTTGTTCAGCATTTAATCGGTTTACTAAGTCTCTAAGCTAAATAATCTTTTTCATTAGCCCAGAAGTTCTCACTAGCCAAACTGGGATGGTTGTTTGAAGAAATCTGCATAGTACAGTTACAATTATTTATCTAATCTATGTAAAACTAGAAACATATCTGAGTTAGTCCAAATTTATACTGCAATTTAAGTCCAAATTACTTCTGCTCTCCAACCTATCAAGCCCAATTTGACTGTTAGAATTTCTATTTACTTATTTCTTTGTATTTAGCTTTCCTTTATCAAGTATTTTGCACAAGCTATAACTTTCCTGCGAAGAGGTCGGCTGGTAAAGGTTCTACTACAGGGATGAATATTAAGAGAGGAATATGCATCTCTAATCGGAGAATTTCCAAAATTTTCAAATTAAGGCTAAGAGATACACCTCAAGGTAGTTTCAGACGTAGCACTTCAGCCAAGCAAATCAATCCATGTTAAAATCAAACATACAAACGCAACAGTAAAACACAGAGTGGGCACTGGATCATTTTTTGCACACTGTGGAGTGTGTAACGGAAACATAACATAAGACTTACTATCTAGCTCACAAAATGTTATGCAGCCGTACTAATCAATAAGCTATGGTGGTACAAAAGGCTGTGCGAAAACTAATGGAGAACGATGGGAAAACTACGGAGTTGATGTTATACAGGTCTCGGAAACTGGCACGGAAGGGCCAGGACAAAACCTATAAGAACGATCAATAGTAGTCTTCAGACGCTAACAAATCATCAAGGAGTCCTAAAAAACAGATACCAGAAGCTTCAACCTACATCATAGTCGTTCATTTCGGGAACTGTGAAGTTCTAGGGATGTGGGGCAGCAGGAACTATGACATACGCGGCCAAGTCCGGTGTATTGAAAGCCGACCTCGGTAACTGAGTAAATCAGGAAAATTATAGGGATCGCATAAGAGTTTAAGCGGTGATAGAACAGCAGCACAGGAGATTGGCCTAAGATTGCAACCACAGTTGCTAAGCTTAGCGTATCAAGTCGAAACTCATTTGGCCCAGTTTTCACATAGCTGAACAGCTTATCTTTTTGGACCACGCACGTTTTCAAGTCAAACGCGGTCTCGTTGATATCTCACCAATAACCTAAAAATATTCAATTTTCAGTACCGAAATGCAACATTCGAACACTTTCAAGGATACCAATTTCATCATTAACTTGCTGTAAGACAACAACAATTCTGCCAACTATAATCACATTGTGGAGGTGAATAAATCCCCAAAATAAATAGCTCTGTAAGTTTTCGACAATGGATGCTGACCAGATTAGTTTTAGTGGAGTCAACTAGCTGAAGGCGTTCAGTCATGCATCGGCACCAGATCATGTGTGGTAACGCTGTGCTCAACATCTACCGCAATCGCTAGCCAGATTAGATCAGAGAATTCCGATATATTGGTAATCACCAAATACACTCATTCGATCTCGACTCTGTCATTTGATTTCTCTTGATGGGTACAAATTATATTAGAAGGCGTGGCTGGTAAAAGCGTTGTCAAACACTGAATACCTGTGACATCTTCAACACCAAGCCTGAAGCATTTTACGATAAATTCATCTCACTCGATCAACTGCTCTTTTAATTATTGTTTTAACTACAACATACATTCGTCTTTTTCTAAACGCATAACTTGTGGATAAGTTGTGTGGTCACTGCAAGGTTGTTTGCTAGAACGGTTAGAGATGAATTTGCAATATTAAGTACCTTATGGGTTCCTTTGCTATGTAGTGACGTGATGGGCTACACAAAACAGGAGGCGGAGTGGTAATACACAATGTAAGTCGCTTCAATTCTGCAATGCCATATATTAGCGAGTTAACCGGGGTGGTAGAATCATGCCGGTGTCACTTAGCTGCGAACGGAGGAATGGAGGAATGAACCGGCACACAAGTGATAAAACCCAAAAAGATGAGACAATGCAAGCAATACTAAAGGTATCACACTTCTGGTCTGACCAAATATTACTAACTGGAGGCTTCAACAATCTGTCCCTTAGTCTCAGCAAGCGGGATACACCACCTACAGGATGGTATTACAAACTGATTATCACAGTCATTGAAGGTCCAGCACTGACTGGTAGTGTAAGTGACTCCACGTGATAGGAGATGAACGGGAAACATTCAAACTTACATTATTTACCGACAAATGATTAACTTCTAGTTGACGGTGTCCATGTTCACGCATCGATATTATGTAGTGACCACGTAACATTTATGTTCTTCAAAGAACGAAATGCGAGAGATCCAGCCTGTTACGGACTAGTCTCATTTCTTCGAATACTGTCGAAGGTAATGGAAGAACTGATCAATGAGGAAATGAGGGAGTACGTAGATAAAAACAACATCCATGAGGCCTAATACGGGTTTAGGAAGGTCATCATGTACGTGCAATCTCCACACAGCAGTGAAATAGATGGACGACCTACTGGGACCGAATCATAACGGTTCATGTAATATTCCTCGATCTCACTTAAACTTTCGACACTGTTCCTCATGTACTTCTCATAACGAAGGTTGAAAAGATGAGTTTCATTGATCCACCCCTAACGTAGCTCAAATATAACCTAGAGAACATGACGTTTTGCATCAAGGTAAATAGTGCGCATGAAAATTAGGGGGTCATGACATGAAAATTTTCGCAGGAACAATCTACGGTCTACCTATGTTTTAGAGCTTTATTAACGATTTACCATATGAAATTAGCTCAGTGGCACTGATCTATGCGGGAAACGCATAGATATGGAGACCAATAAAAAACGAAAACGATTCACGTGTGCTTTGGAAGGACCTAACAACTAAATGGGAATGGGGAGTAGAAAGTGGGATAAACTTAGCCTTTCGAAATGTCATGTCATGAACATTCTGTGTCATTTGATAGAAAGCACTTACAGTCTCCGTGAAAGTCAGCCCATAATTGTCCCCTCAGAGTGTGATCCTCGGTTTGCACCCTCAGAAGGCATAGACACCAGTTCAAAGTACTCAGGGGATGCAGTCAAGGCAAACGCAACTCCACTTCATGCGTAGACAACTTTGGACAATCACGTCAGAATTGTTCCTAGTTTTCCTTTAAACATACGCACAGCTTCGACTTCAAGTACACAGTGTTATTGTACCCTCCTAGAGGCAACATTTTAAGTATTGTGAATCGAGGAGCAAACAATTCGGTTTGCTCTATCACGCGAAGTAACTACAGCCATCTCAGTGGATAGCCTCGAAAGAAAATTTTACAAATATGGGTTCACCTATTGATGAGCTGTGTCTGATGCATGTCTCACAATTCGCATTTTTTATCACTGGTGAATGACAGTGAATACTGCTCATCTCGCTTATCATCATCACCTTTTCTCTCTTCATATTTTATTTCTGTCTGCTTACCAATAATGTAAATCATTTATATATTCTTGAAACAATCGTCTTCTCTTAGCACTCGAATCATCACTGTATACTTCTAACATTGCAGCTAGTCAACCTCCTGTCTGGCGATGTGACAGCCACTGATTTCCAGAAACCCTATTGTCTTCAAACAACTCACTCGAATAGCAAAATATACTAACAACCATTCTGATTAAAATGAGTGTAATGAAGTGACCCGACTATCGTCCATTGAACATAAACAAATACCCTAAAACGTAAAAAAACCAACGACAGATGAGGACCAAAAAATAACCGCTTTATGCATGGTCATGACAAAGATTTTAGATGTTGGAGGTTGAATATCAGAAATGTTGCGGAATTTTTGATCTCCTCGTTATATTAAGGTCAACCATCAACGTATAGACAGAAGTGGATCACTTCCACTTCGTTTAATTCATACGAAGTTAAAATTTACGGCCGTTTAGAAAACAGGTTCAAATTTACTATGTTTAAATATTGTAAAGTGATTTTTTCACACTAATCATGTAGTACTACATGTTTCTGATCCATGGAAATTGAAACGAAAGGGACATTCGTGTCGTCCACTTTGTGAATTTAAGTTATTTCGAACATATGTGTTAGCGATGTCTTTCGAGAAGTGGATGGTATATTCCTTTCATCATCTTGTGTACCCATATCTTCTGGTTTCTCTTTTTAATTTTTCTAATTTCGAGAGAAAAGTCAGTGCACATTTCAGTAAAAACCACACGGTCAGCATGAATCTCAGAAATACTGCTCGCGTTGTCTTCTGAATTTTGCTTAAACTACTGCTGAAACTCATTGTTTGAGAAATTTTCCTTAAAGTTTAGAGAACGAGATTTGTTTGTTTTTTATTCATGTATTTCAGAAAAGCCATCCTCTTACCATATATATATATGATATAATCACGGCCATAGTGTTTTTCTGGTTGAAAGCATGGTCTTAAATGTTATCAGTTGAACGGTTGCTCAGTTACTTCAAAGTTTATTAAATTACGGTTTGAACTTGCAAATCTCGTTTTTATTTTATCGTTGACGTCAAATTTTACTTATGTGATAGTTTTACTGCGGGATTAATGTAAGACAATGGTACTTTAACACTTATGCACAAGATTGCCAGCTAAATGAATGTATTGACTTGTTAGTGGGTAAGTATTGCACTAATCAAATTCTACTTACAACAGTTAATTAGAGTTAAACTCTGACTGAGAGCTTACAAGACTACTCTATGATGGTGGTGGTAAATGTTGGCGTAGTGTCCTGACCCGTCCCATGTATGCATTACTCGATAATATATAAATGATCACTTCAACAAATGTATAGTGATTTCTGTATTCTTATGGTTGAAGATTTGAATTAGGCAGTATTACTGCTTCTATTTAAAAAGGCTAGTAGAGCGTATATAACTGATTGCAGGAGTATGGTCTGGAACGCTGTAAGTATACCTTGTTCACGTTTCTATTAACATGATTCATTCTAATCGTCAATCACTTCATGAGCTGATGCTATGTTTTGGTTTAGCCACTAGTATCGTTCTTCCAGCCTTCATTTTATTATTTATTTGAACATATAAGTATTGGTACAAAGGGGCACCGAATGCATATGCGCCACACAAGTCACTTGGTTTGTGTATGTGCTGTGATACTGCCCGGGTGCCCAGACCGAAGCAGGTTCCAGTCTACTACACCAGATAACATCCCTCCGTCGAGGTAGACAGTGGTTAAGCATACGTAACACATGTCCCAACCACCTCAGTCGATGAAAGTTTACTCCTTCATCAGTCAACTTCCCATCTTTATCAAGTATTCTACTCCTAACCCAGGCATTACTTAGTCGGTGGTCCCAAGATACACGAGCCATGCTTCAAGGATACACGATCGAATACTAGTAACCTCTGTTCTTAATGCCCATGTTTCACATCTGTAATGTAGAACGGAGCAAACTGCTGCTCAGTAGTTTCTCCTTTCCGTTAGAAGACGTATATCTGGTCTACGCAACAAGTGACCCAACTTGGCCTTCCGAATCCATGCCGAGATTTTATCAGGCACCAGATCATCAGTACTGATGAAACTCCCCAGATGAGTGAAGCGACCGGTGTGCTCAACTTCACTCCCTATCACTAGCTCAGGTGGTGACACAGGTCATTCCTGAAGTAGCATTTTGCATTTGAAGTAAGAGAACTTTACCCCAAACATGTTTACATTGTCGCTTAAGGTGGTTAGAGGACTGCATTTTGTCAGTGATTTCACCAAACAGATTTATATCATATGCGTATTCCAAGTGAATCTACTGGTAGAAGATCAACTCCTGAAAAGTTAGACGATGGAAGTCTTATCTCTAAAAGCACGTCTATGACAAAGTTAAATAAATATGGAGAAGGTGGACAACCCCAACGACCACCACTTGAAGTGACCGATTCACCATAAGATTTGATTCGACCAATGGTATTCGAGTAAAGAGCTTGTACGAGGTTAATGTGCTCCTTTGGTATGCCTTTCAGTGACAGATACTGACATAGAACCTCACGACCAGCAGAGTCGTACGCTGCCATAAGGTTAAAGAATACAACTATAGTAGGACGTCGAAAAGTATATCTATGTTCCAGAATCTGCCGAAGAGGGAATATTCGGTCCTTACATCCATGTCCAGGTCTGAAACCAGCCTGGTTTTCCTAGGTTCACTCTTCAGGGGCTCTAGTTAGACGTCGAAGTATTATTGAGACTAATATTTCAGACACTAAATTAGTTAAACTGACCCCTGTGGTTGTCATGAGAGGATTTTTGTTCCTTCTCATAGATTGGAACGATCAGCGATCGAGGCCAGTCAGATGGGATTATATCCAACTCCCAAATTCTGGCTAAGATCTCAGTCAATCCAATATTTGAAAGTTGGCCACCAACCTTGTAAGTCTCATGGGTTAATCCATCAGATCTTGTTGCTTTCCTACGCTTTAAGTTACTTAAAGCCTTTTCAACTTCACTAAGAGTTGGAGGCATTACATCAGTTTGTCATTCAGGTTGATTGAAAGTAGTTGGTAACTGAAGTGTGGCTGTCAGGACCTCAAGAAGCATGTGTTCCAGCCAGTGTAGCTCGGTTGAGTCGTCACAATTGACAAGCTCGACCACCACGTCAAGGTAGCAGCTACGTTCGGGCAGGATCGATCACAGCGTGTCGAAGATACGCCCCCTTCTAATTTTCTCCTGAATGATCAGTCTCAATATTCCGTTATACATACCTTTTCGGACCATATTTCCAATGCTTACTCTTTCTCACTATCACTGATGCTATTATTGTTTTGACTTTCTTTATTACGGATCTTGTTAATTGTATTTCGCTCTAACGTAGTACGGTAACATGGACTAATTTCAGGCTGTGCAGTGATCATGAGTGAGGTAGTAAACGATGACAAAGAGCAGACTACAGCATGATACTGACCTCGAAATTTACTGATCTTTAGCATGTTTACAGAAGTTTAGGCTAATAAATTTAAATCTTTAAAAGGTTTCGAGTCAGTATTTCAAGACCTCTAGTGGTTATCTCTCTGAATCGAACACAATACAATAAGTTTGTTCATCTTATTCTTAGAAATTATACTATTTTTCAGTAACTTGACTTCTTGAATTTTTTGCATGGTTATTCAGAAATTTCCTCATTTTTGTTGACTTTTCCGTCTTGTTTTTTTAATTTGTTCTTTCTCTACTTACGTCTTTGTTTATCTGGGCGTTATATTTATCTGTGTTTAGTTCTACTTTTGTGTTTTGGATTTTGAAGTCTTGTATGTTTGTTTGGTAACTAAAGTATTACATATTGTCAAACTCTTACTTTTGAAACCACATGGATATTAGCGTAAATAACTAGGGTTTTTATTATTGTCTGGATAAAAAATTACCTAAGATTAATCGCGTAAACTATGTTATCCAACTATTGTTAGAAATTCTAGTGAACAAATAGGTATGATTTTGATTATATTATTAATCATATGTCTGGAGTTCAAATAAGGAACCTCGAGCTTGTAAGGTTTATTTGTATTGTTTGTTAAAAGCTCAGTTTTTATAACGTCTTTGATAGCGATAACTGTCTATCAGTAATGAAAAGTCAGTCTATCAATCATTTTCAAATAGAGGTGTTCGTGCTAGTGTCAGTTGTATTTCAATGATAGATTTGTGTGTCATGGATCTCTCGTGGAAAATGTGGGTTTTTAGTGTGTTTTTTGTGTTGTATTTTCCCTTGCATCTCTTACAAACAAATTACTTTTCTAACAGTAAATTCTTCTATATTTTGGACATATAGATTCATATTAGATGATGTGTTTATAATCCATTTTTTGTAGTGTAGTATCTCCTTTAAATACTTTTGAATTGGCTAGACAGTGGGATTATTGTCTTTTCCCCTTTTAATTGGATTCCAACTGGTCTATGGGTCAAAAGCAACCAAAATTAAAACAAGATGCTGTTGAAGAACTACTAAACCAAACATCTTTTACGGAAACTGAAATTCAAGACTGGTATAAAGGATTTTTGAAGGTTAGTTGAGTTGGACGTGTTATATTGCTTCCGCATTTTCAGTTGTTTAGCGATATTAGTATTTGTTTTATCTCCTAGTGTTTGCCTCAGTTCAGCAGAAGCAAACATCTAATGTGATGGTACCACCACGATTTCACGTAACTTCGACTGGGTTGTTCGTATTTCATGTTCATCCTAAGGTAAATGATTGAACTTCCACTGTATTACGTCAATAAATAAATATATCTGAACAATAGAATGAATATTTGGGTAATATCTGTAGTCATCTTATTTTCTACATCTAATTCTTTGCAACACAAACATAGTAGCTCCATGTGGTTTTGAAAATAGAATACTGCCAGTAATCGTCACAAAATGTGTGGCTGTAAGTTAAGTACATAAACCCTTATTTTACAAATGCGTTACATTGTTTTACTGAAAAAGTTAGTTATATATGAGCTAAAATATTATGTGGTTAATCATTGAAATATTTGATTGAACTTTAATAATTGAAATTTTAACACTTATGAAATTTCTCCGTATAATGTAGTAGTTTATCGGTTAGATCACTAAACTTTTAACCACTAAGTTACATTCTTGACTCCTGTTCTAATTGCTTTGGCCAAGCACTGTTTAGTTGATGGGTTACGATGTCACGAATATTGAGTTTGACGTTAAAGTTATGTTTCACTAAGGACTTATTTAATCGATTTTCATTATTTTCTGATTTCTTTCAACCACTCACCTTGGATTTGTTTTAGATTTCGTTCAGAGTAAATTGTCATAGGTTGTTACTTATAGCACAGTGTTAAATGTGGCAAAACATGTTCAGAGTGTATTTTAGCATTGTACCAAAAACTACACTGGGTTTTGAAACTTCGATTACTAAGATGAAGAACCAAAATATTTCTGTTCATGTAAGATGAATTTGGTGTTAAAGCCCTGATTAACAATTTTGAATTAACACGTCAATAAACTATGAAAATCCCCTTATGGTTTAGTAAAGACAACAGTTTGTGCTGACATGTGGAAAGTCACAACGAACGAATATAACCGTAATTTACACATGTTATGCCATATACAACTGTTCAAATGTTCAATAATCATTTTTCCAATCAAAGAAAATAGTCTAGTTTTCTATTTATCTCTTCGTATTTTTTGCTTTTTACAAAGGAATGTCCAACTGGTTATTTATCTATTGATGATTTTAAACGTGTTTATACAAAGTTTTTCCCATATGGTGAATCTAGTCGGTTCGCAGAGTATGTATTTCGTACATTTGATCAAAATCATGATGGTTTGATTGACTTTCGAGATTTTCTATCCTCATTAAATATAACTAATCGTGGTGATTTATCACAGAAATTACGTTGGGCATTCACGATGTATGATTTAGACAATGATGGTTATATATCAAAACAAGATTTAATTGAGGTTCTTACTGTAAGTCTTTGATGTTGTTGTTTTGTTTTCTACATTGTCTTTTCGTTTCAAGATTCAGTTATGGAAATTAATAATTTAGAACACTCAGATAACATAGTTCTGTTTGGTGAAGACACTGATAAAATGCAGAGTATCTTGGTACCACTGAGCAACAGTGCCAGGATGTTTGGGTTACATTTCCGTCACTCTAAATACAAATTGCTGCTTCAGGACTGGCCTGCGTCAACACCTGAACTAAGGGTAAGAAGTGAAATAGCAGGATGCGTCGACAACTTTACTTATCTTGGAAGTCCGATCAGCCCTAATGGGTCGGTATTTGACGAAATCTCTGCACTGATTAAAAAACTCGTTTGGTTTTTACAGACTTACGCCACCTATAGTGAAGGCGAGATATCCATCTATCAACTAAAGGGCGAGTATACTCCGCAGCAGTTTGTTCTGTTTTACTTTACGGCTGCGAAGCGTGGCCATTAAGGGTAGAAGATACTCGTAAGCTAATAGCATTTGATCACATATGTCTTATAAATATTGTTCTCATCTGCTGGGATCACCGGGTAAGTAATAGTGAGGTTAGACGCATGTTATTGTGGAATGATGGTAAGTCAGGTGATGAGATTGCGAATCTTCATCGACTGAAATGATTGAACCACGTATTACGGATACCCAACCACCGGTTACCACGGCGCACAATGCCGACTAGTGTTGGAGGCGGGTGGTAGAAAGTTAGGGGCAGCCAAACTAAAACGTGACATCAGTCCATAAAGTCACTAACTTCTAGTCTGAGCCATGTTGGTAGATGCAGACTACTTGGTTGGGGTCCGCATGACTATCGTACCCAACGGAGGAGACTCCGAGTGACATGGCTCAGAATCGATCACAATGGCGTAGGTGTATACACACTCTGTCTTTCTTTAGACAGTGAAATTAAAATTACTTTATACCATTCCTTCTACGAACTAATTCTTTCCCCCGTATTATATTCTTATATAAAATCCCTTCTTACTACCATCAAAGTAACTGCTTCTACGAATTTGGTGTTCATCTTGTTGTGCTAATGAGGTAGGGCAACTTGGATTGATGCATATATGTACGTTGTCCTAAGGTGTAGCTGAATCACTGATTTTAAATGGACCAATGCATAGCAACTTGTTTTTTAATGAAGTCGGGATATTTTTATCGCTGTATAGCCCTGCAATTTTTCGTGGTTAAATTATTGGTCTTTAGCTCCTGCGTTGTAAATACGCAGTACCGGAATCCAAATTTTTGGAATCCTTTTCTTCCTTTTAGTAATAAATTCCAACAAATGGGTGAGGAATATCTGTTGTCACTTTTAGTGTGACTGGCTCTCCGTTTGGTATGATGACCTGTGAGACCTAAATATTATTAGGTATTTAATAAAAAGATTTAGTCAGCCAGTCAGTAACAACGTAACACTTCGTACGCACGTACATCAGTTCGAGTTGCCATACCGCATTAGCACAGAGATGCAGTTGTCGATTCAAATCTCGTAGTGGTAGAGGTAATTAAATTATAAGCAGTAATCGGGAAGATTAGGGTTTGAAGATGTTATTCAAGGAGTATAATCGAGTAAAATAAATTTGGAAGAAGAGAAAGAAAAGGACATGAAGAACTCGGAAGATTAGAATTTGGGAGAACACTAAGAGCGAATACACCTGCGTCATTGCAGACTATTTTGAGCCAAATCATTCAAGGTCTCTAACCATCGGTTGCTGTCATCTCGTGGATCCAAACCAATTAGTCTATACCTATTAAAATGACTAAGTTCAGTTGTGACTTCATGGAGTGGTTCCATGTTTTGACTTTGCCGTCCCTAGCTTTCTTCCATCCTACTCCTCCTACACTATAAAACACTGCTCGTCGGATCAGTCAGTGGTTGGGCATACGTAACACATATCCCAGCCATCTCAACTGACGAAGTTTCACTACTTCATCAATTGATTTGCCATCCTTACCTAGTACCCGTTTCCTAACAACTACATTACTTACTCAATAAAAAAGTACAATTGGTAATTATTATAAAAGTCATAATTAAGCTTAAATCAAATCCGTCTGGTTGACAATGAATAGGATGTACTGCCAATAAAAACAATTTAAACCAACGCATTCACTAGACCGTTACATGGCTAATCGTGTGTTTTTTATTGTCAGTTAAGGCGTCTACGTGGCCTCAGTTCAAAGTGACTGATTCTTCCTATTCCATAATGGTAGATTTAGAGTGTAACCATAATTATTCAGAAAGTAACTGATGGTTTACGTGTTATCGAAGTATGTGCTCAACATGTCTAGGTGTACCCACTTTTCTCACAAATATATAAACATATAGCATACTGAGAAACAAATTATCTCCGGTTGTAATTACATTCGAACTTGAATCTAAACTAGTGATGACCAAAGCTCATTGCTCCTAAGAAGATAGTCAGTGTACAAATTGTTGACTTTTACATGCATCTTGATAAAATAATAACCAATAATACAATTTTTTTAAAATCATTATTATTATTATTGGGCAATAGATTTAAGAAGAACAGATTAGTCAGATGTAAAAAATTGTTCATTGATGTGGTTGCCAGTGTGAGTAATAACTTCAAACCACATTTATTTTAATAGTGTTCTTCCATATGTAGTCAAACACTCCTTGGTCTCCAATGGTTCACCAGCCGAAGGTTATTTCGTGACGAACACTATCTTCGAAATCAAACTAACCAAATAGACAAAATCTTTTTTCTTTTCTTATTACTAGTCCGGCGCTTTATCCGGGTTGATGGATACGGAAGATCCACCTAGGGGAGTTGGAAAACCCTGATTCCAAACCAATGGTACACATGGGCTCCAGTATCCTGAGGGACCAAATAGTGTATGAACCGATTATTGATCACCGGCTACCATGGGAGTGCATCTTCTGACGTTGCTTCACTGCTTTGTGGATCAGACCTTCAGATCAAAGGCTTGGGGTATGGCCCCCTAGGGAAACTGCCTGTTTCGGTTTGGACACCCAGGCAATATCACAGCCCTAACACAAATCTCATTTGATTTGTGTGACGCCTATCTATATGCTGCCTCCGTGTACATATGTTTGTGTTTAAATAATAAATAAATTAACTAAATAGTAGCCCAATTAGAATACGAGAAGAGTTAGACAATTTACCATCTGTTAAGGTTTAAAAACTCGCGTGAATGTATAGGTCATCTACATGTCCACAACTCATTACGATTAGGAAATCTTAATCTGTACGTTTTTGGTGCATTAATAGAAATATAATTAGTTAATTCTAATTTATGAGTGAGTAAAAGGTATACCAATTGTTAATGAGTTAAATAAAGGCTTACAATCATGGCAACTACTTAATTAGTACATATCAGAAAAAATATACATAAATATTTTAATTTGTTGGGAAATAATTTTCAAAGTTTCACCTTTTCTAACAAAAATGACCTAGTTATGTGGAGTTTGTTGAGATTTCGTTTCATTTGGAATTTAGTGGAAATTAGGGAAGCCTACTGCAAAGTTATTTCATCTTTGTTTAAGACTTCTCGTCAGTTTATGTATTCGCTATCCTCCTGATACACAAAATCAAGCTTCGTAAATTCATGTCTTGTGGGTGAAACAATACGATTCCACTGTTGAGTTAAAATGACTATTTTTAAAGGTCATTATGTAATACTTAATATCATGTTCAGTTACAAAGAATAATAGATGGACATATTTTGTTTATGCTTATATATACGATTTTTAAAAGCTTTCCAAATAAATTATATATGTCTGTATTATATTATTTTTAGGCTATTTACGCAATGGTTGGCTCTGCTGTTGAGTTCAATGTTACAGATTCTACACCGGAAAAACGAGCAGAGAAAATATTTCAGTTGATGGACTTAGATAGAGATAATCGTTTGTCATTAGATGAATTTATAAATGGTGTAAAATGTGACAAATTATTAATGCGTTTGTTGACTTTCAATACTCATTCGTTGCATCATCAACATTCAGATTATCTAATGAATGGATCAAATGATAACAAAGGATGGTCATGTACAGATACCCATTATAATCATCAATCTAATGATTATGATAATACAGTCAAACCAATTGTAAATCATTCATTTTCCAAACAGAATGTTATTCCTGATACCTCAGAGTCTTAAAACAGATTCATTTTTTTGCATATGAAACTATATATATATATATATATATATATATATAATTTGTAAAGGTAATTATCTTGATAAATCTGATCTTTAAAACTTCTTGATATATTATTATACTAGATTGTTTTCAGAATGGGGGTTTGTGAGGATTGCAGTAATCTTAATAGTTAAATTCACAAGTCGATCTAAGCTAGACCACTATTGAGTGGATGCGCACTGCTGAGGAGTCCCACATTAGGACAAAACGGCCGTCTAGTGCTTTCAGGTTTTTAGTGATGGTCTAACTTTGATCGACTCATTAATTCAACTATTAATGTTATACTAGATGTTTATTATTTTATCAGTACATATGTTATAAGGTTATTTGATTTTTACGCTCATACATACTTGTAACTTCTGAAATTTCTCTCCATGATACAAAAGATAGTTTTCTCTTATGATTATTTAACGCAAAAAAGAATAAAAATGTTGTGTATTGCCTTGGAATTTCATAAGCTTCTGAAAGACGTACTGTTATGAGTACTAATTAATGTGCTCAGTAGGTTCCATTAACAAATAATATTAAGCATTGGCTCTCTGTGTTTTACTGGAAACTAAGGGTGAATGGGCATTTTTAAGAACACTGTAGGAACGTGCACCAGTATCTAATAATAGTGGAATTATTGGAAATTCCGTTGATTTTCTCTTCAAAATTCTGTATACAAATCAATTAGCGAACATAAAATAATAGTATACTTTCTCAAATTAACATTTTTTAATTTGAGGTCATGAACTGGTTAGTATTGTACCACCATTGAAAAGCTGGAAGCACTGGACGGCCGTTTTGTCCTAGTATGGGATTCCTCAGCAGTGTACATGTGCGATCTTGCACACAAGGTTCGAACCCACTACCTTCGGTTACCAATGAAGCGCCGTCTTATTTGGTTTAATTTCCGACTATATATATATGCGTTAGAGGTCATTTGGAGTTGGAATTCAAATGGTATGTCCGGTGTCACTAACCTCTAGTCTGAGCCATGTTGGTAGATGCAGACTACTTGGTTGGGGTCCGCGTGACTTTCGTAACCGATCGTTGGAGACTCTTGGTGACATGGCTCAGAATCGATCACAATGGCGTAGGTCTTCCCTTAAACTAAGAGATTAAAATCACTTCATACCTTTCTTTCTATTAACTAATTCTTTCTTCCTGTACTGTATCCTTATATGCAATCTTTCTCCTATATATTACCACCTTTGACCTAACCACTGCTATGAATCCGGTGTTCATCTTGCTGTGCTAATGAGGTATGGCAACCTGGACCGATGCATATATGTACCTGGTCCTACGTTGTAGCTGACTGACTGTCCGGTATCAAGTAAATACCGAGCTATTACACTATTCAGAGGCATTGGACCTCCCAGTCTCAAGTTCTTTGGAACGTCCTCGGAAATGCGAACATGTACCCTTTTCTCTTTCCTTCTGATGTATGTGTTTGACACGTCCATGTAAATCGGTAAATGTAGTTAAAGGTACTGAGAAAAGAGGCCCTATCAATTTTTTTGTTTATTTAAGTGAGCATTTCGTTTCAGTCCTGCTGATGGATAAGCAACTTTCAACGCAGCATTTATCTCGTGGTTAATTATCGTAGTGATTTCATCTCCTTTGAAGCGTGAATAAAAGAAGCAGGTTCTCTTATCAATTGTATCGTATTTAACCCGTAGGTTGGTTTTGGTATACTCCTCTATGAATTTCACTGGATATGTATTTTCACGTAGGCAATTTGTAGTGAAGGCACGTTCTTCCAGGCTTTCCTCCGAGCAAATTTTACCAGGGCGGTCAAAAAGCGTCCGTACAATTCCCTTTTTATAACTTATTGGATAGAAACTGTTGTAATTGCGATAAGCTCAACTTCAGGTATTTTTACAGTAGATGTGTATCTGTAATGTGCTATCTGAAGTTCTTTAGGTTCCAATATCGAAGAAATAAAACTAATGTATCTCATGTTCCATAGTAAAATCTATATCCTTGTGCATTTTTTCACCGAGTAAAAAACTAGGTCGAATTGAAACAGAAACACTCCCTCCGATTTAAATTTCATATTGCGAAAAAATTCAAAGCAATCGAGACCGAAACTCAATTCGAGTATTTATATCAATAGTTGTCGGACCTAAAACCCATGAGTGATGAGAAACAAAGTTAGTTGAAATCGAAATTACTGGATATTACAAGTCAGTATGTTACGACACCAGTTCCGTAATGTGGGGTGTTGAATAAAGGTCATCAGGCACTGAGAAAACTTATAAAACACGAAACAATAATGCTACTTCGCCTGGACAAGGGCTTCCGTGTAGTCATTCAAATCAGAGACGAACACATTAGCAAAAGAATGTCTATTTTAAATAATACCATAAGACTTATCATCGAAAATACTCAGAAAGATCTGAAAAGCGTCTTTCGAAAAAGTTGATAAAACTCTGGTGCACGTGGTTTCAGAAAGACTGCTTCAGTACTCATATTCGGTGGTAACGTACATCATGTGTTCGGTCACAGAGACGATAATGCAATTGGTGTCACCATCTTGAAACACCGACTTCAGTGGCTTGGACATGTTCTACGAGTGTCGTCCCAGAGAATTCCACGCCGTGCATTATTTGCCGACTCTGGGACTGGTTGGAAAAAGCGGAGAGGTGGTCAGTGCATGACATGGTGTCGTGGTATGAAAGAAAGCTGCAAAGAACTGGCTTCTGTCGGTCCTTCACGCCTCCCTGGTTGGGGTCCGAGAGATGGTGCAACACAGTGGCTAGAGATGTTATCAGATATGGCCCAGAATAGAGGCCAGTGGCGATCCTGCTGTAACCTTCTTTTACTTTCTTCATAAAAAGTGGTTGCTTCTTAACTGGAAGATTTCTTCTGATTGTACCTTTCCGTTCCCTCATTACTACCACACTACCTTACATCAGTCTCTTCGTTATTGTTCTTTTTTTTCTCTTCGATTTCTCATTGTTTTGTGTGGCGCATATATATTGGCGCTCTCTTGTTCCAATATTTATGTGTTCAAATAAATAAATAAAACTCTTGAAGAAAAAGGTAATCGGTAAAGTACCTTACGATGAACTCGAACCGAGAAAACCACAATTACCTTGCTCATGCGTCTTACCTAAAATCCCAATGAGGTAAATATTGCCTATGACCAAATCACCTTTCGACAAACTTGCCCGGTGTCTGACTAGGTGTTCAGAACCAATCCGTGAGAAACTAGCTCCCTACAGTTTGAAGGATGCTTTCGAATTTGTAAAAATGGTTGGCACCTAAAGAGCTTTCGATAGTAGTTTTTAAGTTCTTGTCCCATGACACCAGTGGTAATTTCCAGAATTTTGTATGGCAACTGACAATTGGTTCGACGAGAGTGTAGCTGTGAAAGTCATGCTGTAAACTCAATATTTTGATGGTTTAGTGGGTCACTTGTCCATATTAGTGTTTATAGATGGATAATTAGAAATAGCTCTGCATACAAGTTACGCGTGAGCACAAGTTCAAACAGAAGCTATAAATCAATCCGTTTGAAATTAAGTTTGTGAAATCAATATAGCTCACATAGTACCATTAAATATGATGTCTTCATTTAATCGACTGCTCATAAGTCGATAAAGTGAGTGCAAGCCATGTGCTTATCAGATAGAGCATAGGTTTTGGTCAGTGGGATCATAGCACCCAACCCATTTCTATGGTATCAGCTTTTAGTTGTATAAATACAACAATGATGCTTTCAGTTCGCAGATTTGCTCTACTGCAGACACCAATCATTTGCACAAATGACTGCCGTCAAACCTCTCATCAAGCTGATAAAGTTTCAACTAACTGATTGTAAAAGCTCTTTTTTGAGAATATCAGTGTTTGATAGAGATAACTGAGTAAACCACACTATTTGTGGAAGTAGTTATCAGTCATATCATCGACTGACTTAGTTCTTGGGTTCAACACTTGTATCAACCATATTACGTGACTGTCAAATCGTAATAATGCTTTATGGTGATGTCAAAAAACTATTATGAATAGCTACTTGTAGTTATGATTTGGCATTAGCTATGGGAGAAAAAGTTAGTGTTGTTTTACATACCGAAGACTTTTGATGGTTCAGAATACGTTCAAGGTTGTTGATTCGTAAATGTCAGGAGTTAAAAAATAGTTTAATGCCAATGAATTTGGGTCACCTGATTGCACTACAATGCATGTTGCAGAAATATATATATATATATATATATATATATATATATATATAATGTGTTGTGGTTATGTAACAAGAATGATTTAAAATAAATTCAAACAGATAGTCAATGTTATTTAACATGGAACTAAAATATAGTTTAAGATAGAGAAATACTCAATACATCTGAAATCGGCCTTGAATATGCAAATGAATTAGATCGAAGGTAAGCTGAATCATAATCTTATACACTGCTGAAATATTGACAATCCACCAACTCAAGCCCGAACTATTCGTAAAAAAACGATTTATCCAACTTCTCATTCTACTTTTTTAACTGAGATCATGAACCGATTGGTATTAGACCATCATTGAAAACCTGGAAGCACTGGGACTGCTCAGCGAACGGTTGACTGCACTCGGTTGATTTTTGTGTGTAGCGGTAAATAAATCCCCAAAATAAATAGCACTAAGTTTTCTACATTGGATGCTGACCATATGTTTTAGTGGACTCATCTAGCTGAAGGCGCTCGGTCATGCATCCGCACCAGATCACGTGTGGTAACGCCGTGCTCAACATCAACCGCAATCGCTAGCCAGATTAGATCAGAGAATTCCGATATTTTGGTCATCGCCAAATATACTCTTCCGATCTCCTCGACTCTGTCTTTTGATTTCTCTGGGTGGGAACGAAATATATTAGAAGGTGTTACTGGTAGAAGCGTTGTCAAACACTGAATACCTGTGACATCATCATTGGTGAGACCGTCGTGATCTGGTACACCTTATTGCAACTGTGAGTCTGTTCCTTTTTGGGATTTTTATATATCATTGCCTTATTTTTTATTTTTTAAACATTGTGATTTTTTTCGTGTTTTTCTTGGATATATATATATTTTTCCCCTCGTTCATTATCGTACTTCATATTTCATCATGACTGAACAGACACCTAAAGTACTCAAGCTTAAGACCTTGTCCCCACCTTCGTTTCAACTGATGCCTTTCTGGCCCGACAACATCGAAGCCTGGTTTTGCTACGCAGAAGCCGACTTCTCCGAGCACGGCGTGATCGACACACGTGCACAATTCCTCGCAGTAGTCAAGGCACTACCGCGGGAATTCAACAGGTACGTAACACCTAGTATGTTTACTAGTGATGTTTCCGATCCTTACGAAATCTTAAAACGCTCGATTCTTAAACGAGGAGACCTAACCGATCGACAAAGGTTAGATCAACTCTTCAATAACATCGACCTGCAACACGGTTCTGCGACGGACATGTTGCAACGGATGAGAGAGGTTATAGGCCCAAGAACTTTCGACGAAGGTCTATTCAAACAACTCTTCTTGTCAAAACTTCCCCAACAGGTGCAAGCAGTTCTGGTCTCGTTCCAGAACAACGCCTTAGACGAGCTAGCTGCATCTGCCGACCGCATTCTAGAAATTACGAAACCTTCTACTACCGAGGTATTTTCAGTCAAAGAAAAGCCTCACACGACTCAGAATGACATAACCGACTTATGTCACACACTCACGCGTTATCTTAGTCTTCGTACCGACCGTAAGAGATCGCGCACACCACGTAGAAGCATTTCTCGTAAGCGATCTGTCTCTAGACCACGAGAGACAGATAACCCCGACTGGTGCTGGTATCATAACCAGTATGGAAAGTTTTCCAGAAATTGCAGAAAACCCTGCAATTTTCCCAACACGAAACCGACTGACTCGAAAAACAATCGGGAAACTTCCAAGCCGGCACGCGTTAACGGCAACCGTAGCCGGCGAACATAGCCGTCTGTTATTCGTCACAGATGTGACAACGAGAGTTCGCTACCTCGTCGACACTGGCGCAGAAGTTAGCGTTCTCCCAGCAAATCCTAACGACCGACTTCACGAATCGACTCTAAACTTACAGGCGGCAAACGGAAAACCGATCGCTACGTATGGCAAAAGGTACGTTTACCTTAACGTGGGTTTACGCAAACCCATCCACTGGATTTTCGTCGTTGCAGATGTTTCTATGCCAATCATTGGTATGGACCTTCTACAACACCACAATCTGATCATCGACACTCGCAAACGGAGGCTAGTAGACGGAAACACTAATTTGTCCGTTTGCGTAACTTCTTTTACTGGTTGTAGAGTATCCCCAGTCACAGTTAAGCATATGATAGACCCACTCTATCAACCACTACTCGATAAGTACCCTGGGATACAACAAACTCAACCGAAACTACCGTGTGTAACCAGCAATGTTACACATCACATCACGACTACAGGACCACCTGTATTTTCTAAAGCACGACGACTAGCTCCTGAAAAGCTAAGGTTAGCGAAAAACGAATTCGATCACATGATGGACTTAGGAATCATACGACCGTCAAGTAGCCCATATGCATCTCCGTTGCACATGGTCCCTAAAAAGGACAGCAACGATTGGCGTCCAACTGGTGACTATCGGCGATTGAACGCGAAAACCATTCCCGATCGTTACCCGTTGCCTCACATTCACGATTTGACAGCTACCTTGAAAGGTACAACTGTCTTTTCGAAAATCGACTTGGTTAAAGCGTATAACCAAATCCCTATGGCTACTGACGACATACCGAAAACAGCTATCATAACTCCCTTCGGACTCTATGAATTTTTGCGAATGCCTTTCGGTCTAAGGAACGCTGCTCAAACATTCCAAAGATTCATAGACGACGTTTTTCGAGGTCTCAACTTCGTACACGCGTATGTTGACGACTGTCTAATCGCAAGTCCGGACAGAGAAACACATCTCAAGCATCTGGATCTTGTTTTCGAACGATTACAAAAACATGGCATTACTGTAAACGTTCAGAAATGCCAATTCGGAACCGACTCGTTAGACTTTCTGGGACACACTATCGATGCTCAAGGTATCCGACCCCTTAGAACCAAAGTGGCGGCCATTCTGGATTACCCAGAACCGACCACCGTCAAGCAATTACGCACGTTTAACGGCCTCGTAAGTTTCTATAGACGTTTCATAACGAAGAACAAGGCACATTGAATGATCTAATAAATAGGAGCATGTTACCCTACTGTTAGCAACTGCACAACTTCACACCTGTATATTAAAATCGTCAAACACGGGCTCAGTTAAACACGTGACTATGGGAGCTGCAATCCTAGTTAATACATCAACGATATTACCGACCGTTCTAATACCAAATACCTGATAATAGTTAGAGGCATTGAATAAACGTTAGGAGGGAAAATGGCAATAACATGTATCTCAAAATGCTGAAAACGGTGGACAAATGTCAAACAAACCTCTCTGATTTTCTTCTATGTTCTATAGCCACAGGAAAGCTTGTTAAGACATGATGCAGCCTTTGACAAAGAATGGTGAAACTAATACTATGCAGTACTGGCAAAGAGTGTCACTCAAGTATGTTATGTTCGCCACATCATGATATCAACTTTGTACCGGCGAGCCGAACGTAGATTAACACCGTAATACCAAGATGAAAATGTGATTTTTCTCTTTATTTTTACACAACAATAATTGGCGTTTCTAGTCTTTCTCGTGAGTTACACTTCATAGGCGTAGAGTTTCAGCGTCTGATTGCTTTGGACTTCACAGTAACAGAGGAATTTACCATGGCCCACCAGGCCTGGTGCGAATCGGTAAAATACCTCTCCAGCCACATGGCGTCGTGTAAAAGCTATCCAGCATTGACAGGGCAACAGCAAAAGGGTTTGATAAAACACATATTGGTGTCAATTAAATTTGGTCAGCAACCTATGTCGCAGAATACAGACCACGGTTCTACTAATATGATATACTGTGCTGGCAAAAAATAGACAGCATGCAATCCCTCGAAAACTGCCCAATCCATTTCAAAAAACATTGTGCATATAACTCAGAAGATGGATGATGATGTAGAGGAGCACTAGGTTGTGCATCAAATAATCAAGTGCCCTTGCAACAGTATTAGAGACCAAATGATGAACTAGGAGTCATAAAAATAGGTTTTGGGTTATATATGTAGGTCACAAACCCGACTATACATATGGTAAACCATGACACTTTTGCGACGGGATGGGCTACACAAAACAGGAGGCGGAGTGGCAATACACATTGTCAGTCGCTTCAAATATGCAATGCCAAGTAGTAGTGAGTTAACCAAGGTGGTAGAATCATGCCGGTGTTACTTAGCTGCGAACGGAACAAAGTACTTGATTGGAGGAATGGACCGGCACACACAAGTGATAAGACCCAAAAAGATGAGACAATGCAAGCAATACTAAAGGTATCACACTTCTGGTCTGACCAAATATTACTAACTGGAGGCTTCAACAATCTGTCCCTTAGTCTCAGCAAGCGGGATACACCACCTACAGGATGGTGTGACGAACTGATTAGCAGAGTCATTGAAAGTCCAGCACTGACTGGTAGTGTAAGTGACTCCATGTGACAGGAGATGAACGGGAAACATTCAAACTTACATTATTTACTGACAAGTGATTAATTTCTAGTTGACGGTGTCCATGTTCACGCATCGATATTATGTAGTGACCACGTAACATTTATGTTCTTCAAAGAACGAAATGCGAGAGATCCAGCCTGTTACAGACTAGTCTCATTTGAATAGAAATCAACTAGCTATCTACGGCAGGCGTATATATTTGTTTATTTACCGATTATTTTTTAGAAGTCTTTTGTCTTCCAGATTAAATCTATCTTGATCTTACAGTGTTTTGATTTAATCAGTGATCAGGAAAGTGAGGCGTTCTGCTTTCAGCAATTTCACCAGCTTGGATTAAGTGTACTCACTTAAACTCGGATTGTATTAACCCTGACATAACTTTTCACTTCATAAGTACTGTTGTATCAATTGATAACTTTAACTGGACGCTAGTAAATGTCTATAATTGTATCTCAATGACAATACATTGGTGGGAAGATATCACTTTGTTTAGACTGGTTTTAAATATATTGGGCACTGCCAATGTCCTGCGGAAATCCAAATACTGTAACGATTTGGTTGCTATGGTAGCTCGTGCTGAGAATACTTTAGGGAATATCATGTGGTGGGGTCTTACTCCTGCCATGAATCTTGCGAAGTGCCTTGATAGTTTTTGTTTCGGCGATCATTTCGATAGTAAATCATCAATTTTCACAGGGAATATATTCACAACCTAGATATTAACATACTTTGCGTAGGAATGGGAGATTCAAGACACATCTTGAAAACTTTATCTTCAAGGTTTTCTGGAGGAAATAAGTTTGAAACAGTATTCGCCTTGTTGATTTATCAATTTGTTGCTTAGTTCTACTTGATCGAACCATTTCACGAAACATATGCTCGGCAGATGCTTCAGCTATATACAGCTCTTGAGCCTTACACAAGAATAGGGCTGCAGGGTAAAATATGAATTTGTGGTCTAATCTCAGAAGAGAAGGTAGAGATGTACCTTGAAATCTTTGGGAACGTGATGATTCGAGATGTCACATCTAAATATTTGATTAGTGCTGCAAATAATCTGAGGAGGTTTACTTTTTTCCGTGTGACTTAACCATTTTCAGGTTGGTGACAAACTTAGGCCCTCTTCCATCATTTGAATTTGTTGATTTGTCACATTTGAAATACAAGGAACGTGATATGCTGGAGTCAACACTTAAGTTTTGGAGTGGGGGAGATGAAACAAAGTTTGATGCTGACAAGTGTTGGTAGGTTCCTTTTTGTTATCAGTTTAGGGGAGACACATACCTATTAGTAGTCCTAATGCCTTGTCAGATTACAAAGTTTTTGGTCGTTCACTTTGTAAGCAGTAAAGCCATAAGGAAAAGAAATTAAAGTACTTGATTATTGATTTTCATTATTCATATTTGTAACAGAAAAATTTATGCTACTCTTTTCTGAATGCTAACGACACAACTTTTGATCACGGGCTATAATGGTTATTTTTTGTCTATAAGCTCCATCAAAATTATCTAGTAGTAATAAACATTTCACCCATCGGCTGTTTTTCTGATACGCTTATAAGTGATCATTTACGACTTAGATTCACAAATGCTGTTATCAACTACTGGATTCGCAATCATTCTATTTCTTATTTTCGGTTCTTGTTGTTAATTCTTAAGGAAAATAAAATTCACCCCGATTACTACTTACCAGTTGTTGTGCCGCATATAAATTAGTTGTCCTAAGACCTTTTATATCTAAGATATTTGGGTCCTTTTTAAATGAGTTTTGATGTGCTTTTAATGACGACAGTATGTTGGAAACTATACAACTTTTAAAATACTCCCTTGAAGTCGTACCAAGTATAAAGTGATATAAGTTTTACAGCATGTGGTTTCGTGGTACGCGTTTTGAAACATTTTTTTCAGTCAAATATTGGGGACAATTCGATTGCCAAATAATAACCCACTTCTTTTTGGTTCAATGTCGTTCAGGCTCTTACTGGTAGTTTTTAAACATTCAATAGTTTTGTTTGAGTTTGACAGAATAGATTCTTTCTTTTTGCTTGTTTGAAGATAGTGTTATTTAATTAATTAATTATGTGGCAGGTTGAAAGTAGTTCAAAATGTGATGAAAAGTGGTTGACACCAGTTTTGTCTATGCAACCACTTATTTCGGTTATGTATCATTTATATAACTTTTGTTTTTAGTTGTCTTCTATAAGGGTGCCGCTTATAATCATATTCAACAGTTCATTTACGTCATTATAAGTTGAAAAATCGGTTGTCTGTAGCCTTTATCTATGATGTTTGAAAAATTGTGATTTTAACGAAATATTGTGTATAGATCCAGGTTAGCAAAAATACTGATGACTTTCATTTATAGAAGATTTTCTTATGGGTCCTTACTTTTGCAAAATATATAGAACTAGCTTACTGATCATAAATGGCATCCTTCGAAATATATGATGAGTTATAGGTCATCTGTTTGCAGTAGTAATGAATTGAATTTGAATAAAACATATCGCAGACCCAAATGCTCATTAGAGCTGTTTCTTAAACTATTTATGTAAATGTTTTCTTGGGAGAAAGTAGTAGTCAATACATTTCATATTAATTTAGACTTTTTTTAAGTTGACATTATGAACTTTTTCTGGCAATTGTTTGAGCAAGTAACGTTATAGGATATTTTAATTCCATTACAAGTGTTTGAGTATCACCCGTACTCCTTATGCTTTTTGTAGGACAGTTTATTAGTATTAGCTATGAAAACATTATCCGTCGTAATTCATAGGACAACAATTTTGTCACTGTTTCCAAATATTTTATTGAGTTCAACCCCAGCATCACATAGTTTTGTCATGAGTATGTTATTTAAAATATTCAATGTCCGAGTTTTTATAGAGAAGAGTCAGATGCATAGGCAGATTTAGAAAAATACCCCAGCAGTTGAATCATTTCTTGTTGGTTATACGTAAGCCTTAACTCGGTGACTGATTAACAGTGACAGCGGAATCTCATTTTATAACCTTTGTTTTTTTGCATGTTATTCATTTAACAAAGGCTACGATTTAGTGTACGTAGTGGTTTCTTCAATTCAGTACAGGGTTACAGATTTGTGAGTTGTTGGAGGTATCTGGCAAAGTGTTTGGTCGTCAGCAAAAGGTATCCACAATCTTTATTGGAGATCTGAATCCAACTCCCTTTGTTTAACAGTCGAGAATAATACCACTGAAAAACTCTGGCTTCCGTTGGTAGAAATAAGCTACTTAGTTGAAGTCTGTGCAACGACAGCTATCAGTAATTACAGACTTTGTGTGACGTGACTGAAAATCGGTCGCAGTGGTGCATATGCATTCATTTCTTATCTTCGTTCACAGTATTCTTCTCACTGTTCTTTCATACATACCTGTTAGTTGTGTCTTTTCATACCATAACATTGATGTTCAGTCCTTCTAATTATGATTGATGCTTCATCGTTGTGATTACTGATCTATCCATCTTGTTAATTTTATTTAGTTATGTTTTCGTAGTATGGGAGCTCAAGTCAAACTTTCGCTCCTGTCAGATTCCATTTTTGATAATGATCAACAACAACACGTTTAGTTGCTGATAAAGCTCTCCCACTGAGCTATTGCTATTATCATTTGTCCGAAGTGATGTTTACAACTAAGTGAATTTGTATATACCTTGTCGATTCTAAATTATCCATTTATTATGGAATTATGTACTCACTTATTATTGAGATTTATACCTTTAGATTAAATGGTCTTCTAAATCTGATAATCAAACACAACTTCAAAATTTTTTTATAGGAATTATCGTTTACGTAAACATTTAGGTACCCGTTATGATGCCATACCAAATGTTTTTGACTGGGACTGTAGCATAACTCTACACGATCGAAAGGTAAGTACTTCTAGTCTGTTAACATAATAACAACTTATTGAAATTGAAATGGTCGGCAAGGGGATGTGGAGATTTTTTTAATTTCCTTGAAATCGCGAATTGATTTAAGTCACAGCACCAGTGAAAAATTGGAAGCATTAAGCACCCATCTCATTGTAGTATGGGACTTCTCAGCAGAGTTCATCAATGGGTAGTCCCGTACTAGAACAGAACGTCTGTCCAATGTTTCCAGTTATTCATTTATGGTCTACACATTGGTCGGTTCATGGTTTCAATAAAAATTGAAATAACTATTAAAATTTACTCATCAAACACTTACTCGCATGAAAATGTTTCTGTCAGAAATAAGAATGAGAGACTACATTTCTGTTGCGAAATATTTAGCAAATCCTTTTTTTTCTTCCAACTATTTAGTGTATACCCAGTCAAAAGTACCCTAAATGTTTAGTCGAAATTGTTCTACAAAATTTTTTGTGGTGGCTTCTACGATAACGTTTTTCTCGATTTCAGATTTTATGCAAAGGAAACTTTATTATACTAAATGCTAAAGGCATTAAGAGATGTACATCTACAACAGAAGTATTCCAGATTTTTTTGTTGTAATCAAGTGTTGAGACCGAGTAACAGTTTGATTTATTCTTCCCCATGAGATTCCAAGATAGTTATTCATCATTTTTGGAGAGCGACTATGAGTTTAATGTTTGCTCTTCGCTCAACTGTATAAAGACTTAAAAGTATAAGCTATCAAGAAGCCATGCAGTTAAACTGAGCAGCTATCTACTGTTTTCTGTCATGTTTGCTATATTTATTCCGATTAGCTTATGTATGAAAGTTAGTTATCTGGTTTATTTCATTTCCAGAATACAAGTTAATAAGTAGTATGATCTACATGAGAAGTAAAATTTCCTAGTAATATCAGGTGTGAGATTGTAAAATTATAAATTACACTTAAATAATTTCATGGCTTGTAAACAGTCCTCTAGTTGATATTAGTCCATTAAAAAGATAATCTGCATAGACTACCTAGTTAATTATCTGGTTAACTCTGGGAATTCACATTTTTAACACGATATTTCATTGGTGTTTTCGATGTAACAGTATGACATCCATTTGACCTCGAAAGTTAAATGATAGAAAACTATGGTAAATTATTATCATCTAATTAATAGTATTCTTTTAAGGACAGATGTACGAATATACTTTCCTTATCATATAATCTCCATATTTCATGTGAATACTTAAAGAGCAAACGCTGTTTATTAGAATGTTTACACCATTGTTATCAATTTTCTTACTGCTGACATTTGAAAGAAAAAATGGTGTCTCATAATTCTTGTTGTAATCATATCCACTTTACGAAATAGAGACTCATGAAAAATTCTTTTTGCGTAATTTTTGTCAAGGCTACTCAAATAAACTCTAAAGAATACGCTCATTGGCGTCAGTATGGGATGGCGTTTGAACTTCGAGAAGCCAATTACAATGTTCCAAATAGAAGTTTAGCTTCTGGAAGAGTTTTTAGGAATTCAGCTGGTGATAAAGGAGTTTACTGGGGTATTGGGGTGATATAATCTGCTCACCATATTTGGTGTTTGGTATAGATACATCTGAATGTAGTGAATTAAATCGTCTTGTTAATGGGAAGCATGCATATGCGGCATCAACAATATCTGAAGTGAATATCCGTAAAATGTTCTGGGAATTAGAAAATCAAGAAGACTGCCCATTACATATATCCGTTCCATTTTTGGATCCATCAACAACAAATGACGAAAAGTTAGTTCACAAAATGATCCCACAGTAGAGAATGACACAGACGATAGTAAACAGAATATGAATGTTGAAAATAGTAATTCTGATGACTGCATATTCATGAAGTGTAAGTAAATGTAAAATCTTTTTAGAATTTAACTGGATAAAAATGTATACTGATTTTTTTTACAATATATTAGTTCTCTGGAACTTCACTTTTGGCGATAACTTTACCAACCACTGTTATCAGCTGGCGAAAGATGGGACATTAGAAAGAAGTTATTTTGTTCAGTAAATGGATCGGAACCAGGATCTAAGTCAAAATTCTATGATTTATATTTTCCAGTGTTAGTCAATTAGAAAGTTTGGTGATCGTCATCCAGTGTAACCAGCAAATAACTAATTCATTCTCAGTTTCCCAGCAAATAGTGCTAGGTGCTGAGATAGGCTATTAAAAATGTTTTCAAAATACTAAATTGGTATTTTGGACCATTTCACTTATGGAAAACCAAGTACTTTCGTGTGTATATACTATGTAATCTTTTCATTAATTAGATATTTGAGGTGGCAGTGCTCTATTATTTGAGAGATTGCTATAACCGATTCTTTCATCACTAAAATGAACTCAGAACACAAATTGGCGCACGCGAAAGGCGATTACGATGTGTGATCTAATCTTGGAACTTTAGTTTTTTGTCATTATTCTTGTTAGCTGGTAGACTGAGTCTACTTCAACAAGTTATTTTTGACGGAATAAGATCGTAGACTTTGATTATGAAAATTATTTGATATTCTTCGCGTTATCTTCATAGAGCTCGTGGAATCAAGTATATTTTTTACGGGGACTACGAAACGAAATGAAAGACCGTTTGTGATAGTCTACTGTATTTTCATTGTTATTTTGATCACGGGAATAATAAGAAGGAATGAAAAAAACTAACAACGCATAAATGAATACATAATCCAATTCGACTGAACAGTTAATTGAATAACAGACAGAAAGATGGTTAAAACATTTTATCCTATAGAAATTGTACATATCATCACTTTTGAGTTTCTTCAGTTACATTTACGCTGTGTTTTTGTAGCAGAAAATCTAAAAAAAGAAGAAGAAGAAACATCAACGCAAGCTAAATCGAATGAAGAACCAAAACATCTTAATAAAGATTCATTAACAAAACAATTTGACAATACAGTATACGGTAATAATATTATTGAAATACTATTTATTATCGTTAAATTTGACTGTTTTGTTAATGAAAAATTATTTTCATTTATTTAGGAATTAAATAAAGTAACTAACATCAGTCGGTCAGCAACAACGTAGAACTTCGTATGTTTGTACGTACATCAGTTGAAGTTGTCATACCACATTAGCACAGAGATACAATTGTCAATTCAATCCCATAGTGGTGGAGGTAATGAGAGTATAAGCAGTAGTCGGAAAGATTAGGGTTTGGAGATGTTATTCAAGGAGTATAATCGAGTGAAATAAATTGGGAAAGAGAAAAAAGGGACATGGAGAATTCAGAAGATTAGAATTTGGGAGAACACAAAGAGTGATGCACCTGTGTCATTGCAAACGATTTTGGGCCATGTAGTTCAAAGTCTCTAAAACACATAATCAATTTACTATACTGAATAGATTCAATTAAAAAATCTGGTAAAATTCATATTGTACATGAAGATAAAATAACGAGATTATAATTTATGGACGAACCAATCACGCATAAGATAACAGGTCTCAGATTTTGGCGCCAAATTCACTCATCCATTTGGCTAATTAGAGTTTTGACATTATAGCTGATATCAGATCGTGATGAAAACTCTAAATCTAATTCATCAACTGTAAATCACGATTCTAATCCCTCACACTGATTTATAACTCCCATTTGATCCTAGTTTCTAGGTGGACACCCTCAAGGTCAGTCTAGAGACGCTCAAAGGTCGTCCATAAATTATAGTCTCACCCTCAAAATCAACATAAGTGATGATGTTGTTGTGAGAATTTTTATAAATTGATAAAAGAAACTAATTGTAAGTATAATTTAAAGGTAATTTTTGATAATGAAACAGTATTATTGAGAGAACTGTATGAAATTCAAGAAGCAGAGAATTAATTTTAATTATTAGTACTAGTACTACACTATAATGTGGATTCACAACATCATACTGAGTTAGAACTATGATCTTGAGGTCTCATGAGGTGAACCACACTACCAGATCAATGAGTTAGTGTTTAACAATCTGTATTTGTATTTTTTATCGGTCATATTAAACGATATACTCGTTAGTCTATTGACAAAAAAACCATATTCAAATTAAACAAGTCTTTAAAACTTATTCCATAGTTAGAATCTGTCAATGGAAAGTTAGTCCATTTCGATAGTGAGATTCATGTCACAGATGAGATTAGATGATCGTTTCTCTGCATTGCAGATAAACCAAGGTTAGAAATGAACCATAAGATTCTAATTCGGTTGTCTAAAATATAATATTTTTCATGTGATTTGAAAATCTAAGGTTCAATTATGAGTTCATTAATATCGAGGAGCCATAAATTATCCAGAGCTCCCTCTAGTAAGCCAGTTATATGCAATATAATAATATACATCAGCACAGCGCGATCCTAGAGTAGTATAAGTAGCAACAGTATTATTAATAGTAATGTTTAAGCATAAAAGGTATGGATCTAGATAATCTGAATTCATTTCGTATACATTTTCCAAAATAACGGAGAAACTCCGGAATTAAAGGAGGACAGAGAATTAATACAGCTATGCAACTGCGGACAATTATGAGTAATGTCACTCAATCTATTACAATTGGTTGACAAAAGCTAGCGGAATCTTCCGAATTTGAGCCTATGTTCTGTCAGATACCGACCATCAAACACCGATGGAATTTACAGTATAAACAAGGTGGTCGACGCGCTCAAGTTATTCACTCGCTGTCACTAGTTTAGGTGTTGAGGTAGACCAGTTCTGGAACAACAATTGTATTTAGAGTGAAAGAAACCGACTCCAAACATGCTTGAGTTGTTGCCCAAGATCACCAGAAGACCCTGGATTGTGTCGGCGTCTTCACCAAACAGGACTGTGTCATCTGCTTATTAGAAGTCAACAAGTGAATCTTCAGATAGGATATGAGTTCTTGAAAAATCAGACAGTAAGAGTGCTGTTTCTAGAGGTATATATGACGAAGCTAGATAAAGATGAAGAAAGCTGACATCCCTGACAAACACCAATTTGCCTTTAGCTCCAACCCAACCAGTAGTGCTTGAGTAAAAAGTCTGTACAGGGTTAGTGTACTTCTTTGGTATATCTTCCAGTGACAGAAGACTGACGATTTACGCAGCTAAACACTGTCTTCAGTTCAAGAGGTACAACTCTTGTTGGGAGTTGGAAGGTGTGTCTGCGTTCTGGAATCTGCTCAAGAGTGGATGTTTGATCTAAATATTCATTTTCAAGTCGGAAACCAGAATTCTCTTCATAGGTTTGCTACACACAAACCCTACTTGAGTGTCGGATGACTATTAAGGCTAATGTTAGAAACACCATCTTTAGTTATTATGATTTCTTTGTCGTTATCACCAAAGGATTTCTATCCTTTTTCATAGGCTGCGATGATGAACAGCTGCCGTCCGTTAAAGCTATCTTAGCTCTAAAAAAATATTCTTCTGGTTTCGTTTTATGGAGTGAATTTATTTCAAATGAAACAAAGTATCTACAAACTGCGAATATTAAAAGAAATGTGAAGTGGATTACATTTAACGATTTTCACATAAGTGAAAATCATTAGTAGTCGGACTATACCAAATAAAATATTCTCCGAATCTACTTAATTGGAATTTTATTAGAATAGAAAACAATTCATAAGTGAATTGATACATTCTTGTTAAATTAGTTTTCAGTATAATACAAACATCTTTGTGCAAGCTATGATCGTCTTTAATCTGTAAAAACGCATACTATATATTTCTTGAGATGAATATTATTAAATTCATTGGCTTTTAACCAGACCAGCGAATTTCAATACACTTTAGTATTATCATAGTGTGGTGTGTGCTACTTATATTGACATAAGTAGTATATGATATTAGTCGTGGAGAGAAGGTCTGGCAGCAGAGAGACAAGAGGATCGAACAATACAGAATCGGAACAGAATGAAATTTATATGAAAATGCAAGAACAATGAAGCCTGGTTCATTTAGAGACAATGGTGGACATTTTGCAAATTAAGCATTTACTTTATGATTGTTAGATTTTATTGACAAGTCCTGTAATTTCGTGTTAAATATATTCGATTGTCCCTACCTGTGTTCTGTTCACTACAATAGTAATAGTAGGTTACTAAGTTTAGTGAGCAGCAGTTCGTTCCGTCCTACTTTATAGCCGTGAAACATGGCCGGTAAAAGTAGAGGATATTTGTAGGTTACTAGTATTCGATCATAGGTGTCTTCTAAGTATTGTTCGTATGTCCTGGACCACCGAGTAAGTGGTGCAGTTGTTTGGAAACGAGTACTAGGTAAGGATGGCAAATCAATTGATGAAGTAGTGAAACTTCGTCAGTTGAGATGGCTGGGATATGTGTTACGTATGCCCAAACACCGATTTAGATTTAGAGTTTTCATCACGATCTGATATCAGCTATAATGTCAAAACTCTAATTAGCCAAATGGATGAGTGAATTTGGCGCCAAAATCTGAGACCTGTTATCTTATGCGTGATTGGTTCGTCCATAAATTATAATCTCGTTATTTTATCTTCATGTACAATATGAATTTTACCAAGATTTTTTAATTGAATCTATTCAGTATAGTAAATTGATTATGTGTTTTAGAGACTTTGAACTACATGGCCCAAAATCGTTTGCAATGACACAGGTGCATCACTCTTTGTGTTCTCCCAAATTCTAATCTTCTGAATTCTCCATGTCCCTTTTTTCTCTTTCCAATTTATTTCACTCGATTATACTCCTTGAATAACATCTCCAACCCTAATCTTTCCGACTACTGCTTATACTCTCATTACCTCCACCACTATGGGATTGAATTGACAATTGTATCTCTGTGCTAATGTGGTATGACAACTTCAACTGATGTACGTACAAACATACGAAGTTCTAGGTTGTTACTGACTGATTCAGGTTACTAAGTCAGTTAATTATTTATTAAATGTTAAACATCTAAAGGTTTAATCCTGTTGAAAACAGAGACATTTTTGGCTGGAAATTGTTTTAATTTAAACAATTTTTTTAGTAAATATACAAATCTATTTTTAAATATTTTAAGTGGTCTAATATTAAATGACACAAAGTAGAAGCAAATCTATATTGACAGTTTATTGTTTCTTATATCCTTATCCATTAAAATGCTTTAAAATCAGGCGATAGGATGCTTAAATATTGATTATGTCTATTCTGTTATTCACTATGAAATTGTATTTGGAACTTCAGAAAAAAAACATCATATTCTATTAGTAGTTCAAATCAGTCTCAATTATTGTTTCCCTTAGGTTTCAAGCTAACTATTCAACTATAGGAACTAATCTGTTAACATTTCTAACCATAAATTTAATCAACAATGAATGAATTTGTAAGCATAAAATATTGATTTTATTCTTGGTAATTCGTTTTATACATTCTAAATCCGAGAATATAAATAATAATCGTCAATCCTTGACTTATCAATGTGTTGTACAGTCAAATTGATGGAGTAGCCATGGGTAGACCTTTGGGCCCAATTTTGGCCGACATATATATGGGAAACCTGGAACAGAAGCTTAAGCATGCAACTGATGATACTACACTACTGTAGATATATTGATGACACATTTCTCGTCTGCAACAATCGCAAGCACTCCATGAACCTACTCAATCTGTTTAATAAAGCACACAAGGATATAGAATTTACTATGGTATATGAAGTTCAAAGTAAATTCCATTTCTTAGATATTGGAATCAGACGAACATCAGATGGGACATTACAGACACATTCACCGAAAAAATACATGGAGTGGAGTATATCTCAATTACTACAGTTTCTGTTCAATGAGTTACTAAAACAGTATTGTACGAAACCTTTTTGACCGCGCACGTATAATTTGCTCAAAGGAATGCCTGGAAGAAGAAAATGCTTTCATCTCTAATTGCCAACGTGAAAATGCATATCCGGCGAAATTCATCCATAAATATGCAAAACCCAACCCTCGGGTAAAGTATGATAGAATGGAAAAGAAAACTTGCATCTTATACTTACGCTTCAAAGAGGACGAAATTGCTGGAATAATTAATCACCGAATAAATTCTCCGTTGAAAGTGATCTATCAAACGAACTGCTCACTCAAACAAACTAGAATCGACAAGTCTTCTTTTCTCAGTAGCTTCAACTGTATTCACCAGTTTACATGTACGTGCCACAGCATATACATTAGAAAAACAGAGAGAAGAGTACGTGTTCGCATTTCTGAGCATGTTCCGAAGAAATTGAGGCTGCAAGGGACTAAGGCCCTCAACAGTGCAATAGCTCGGCATTTACTTGACGACGGGCATATCACTGACATCCATTATGCTTTTAAAATTATTAGCAGACAAAGAAATATGGCTTCTCTCCGTTTTGTTGAAGCGATTGCGATAAAAAAACTTCAAACAGGATCTATGTATTTAAAAAGAGGTAGTAATAAACTTATTACTACCCTGGTAATCTAATTTTTTTTGTTTTTGGTTATTTGTTTTATTTTGTCAACGTTTAGTTTGTGTTATATTCCTCTTCCATTAGCGAATTCTTAAACCGACCTTTCACTCACACATTTCCGCTCACTTGATTCTCTTAAATTATGTGAACTCTTCAAATTCTATTCAATTATTACGTAACTTATTTTATCAGTTTTTAATTCCATGAGCCTTTCATTACCTCTAAAATTATCACACAGTTTATCTTATCTGTATCTGAGCTCCACTCAACTATTATACCACCCATCCTTAATGTTCCCTTGGTTCTAACACCAAATAATCTCTAACCTGTTCTTGCACATTTATATATTTATATAATTATCTTTGATAACCTTTGTTATTCCAATGCTTTACATTCACTTATGTCAATTGTTTCATACTGTTTCTTATCTCAATGTAAAATTCCAATGCATATTTGCTTGTAAAACAGTTGACGCGAAACCATGAAATATAATGAATTCATATTATTCTGCATCAATATTTGTTCTGGCTTTATGCATGTTGATCATCGCAGAAAGTTATTTTATTTAACTTAAATTAGTCGTAAGTATGGTTTGCTTTCAAGATGGACTTATGAACTGTTATTCATTAGTTTTAAAAACAAAAACTGGAGAAGGAGAGATGATTATTCACAAGTTGACTAAATTTAAAAGTTAGTTGGTGAATGGATTATTTTTCTGTTCTGTCTTTTTTTATTTCAGTTCCACTGGATATTGCAAACACATTCAAAGTTAAATTTCTTCCATGTAACAGCTTTTTAGACTTATCTATAAGATACCGATCTTTATTTCTCAAAAGTAACGACAATAACTCATCATCATTAAACAATCGTTTCCGAATAATTTACATCGGTAACAGTTTAGTTCACTTATTATCTGATCTGCATAAAAGAGAAAGTAAAAAAGACAATGGATTACATTCCAAATTGAATAGTAATCTAGATGCAGAAGAATGTAACGGTAAATTAGAGGACAAGAAAGTTATATCCAATGAAAGCACTTTAGAAAATGATTTATTTAATACTGATACATTCAATGTTTCATTCACTGATCTTTTGGAAGATGAAGCATTGCTAATTGTAGAATCTATTCTGTGAGTTTCAAAGTCTTATTCATAAATTTGTTGTATTTTACTCACATGATAGTACACTGTTCAAATTATGGTTTCTTTCAGTAATATTCTCCTTTGATTATATCTATCTCTCTACACATTTAATGTGTGTGTGGATAGTGGAATCAATATACGGTCATTTGAAGTTATTCATCTTTCTCTCTTTAAAGCTATATTTATTCATTTGTTTATTTTTGAGGAAGTTCTTATTTGTGATTCTAGTAATGAATATCATATTAACCAGTTTTGTTTTATATTCCCCGTAAAACTGAAACCAAACTCGACACTGTTCAAATTTTGAGGAGAACAAAGTCAACTCAAGTTGAGTTAGATCATGAGATGTTTGAAATGACAAAACCCCTATACAGTTGGATTGGCAGGTTACTGTCTGTTAGTACGAGCTGTGTATCTCAGATTAGAACTTCTAGGCAGACTACAGGCTGTGATAGAACTCAGTTGTTGAAAGTCATAGATTTTAACCCTGTAAACCATGAATTTTCAGTTTGATACCATTTAATAATGTCTAAGTATCATCGTTAATTATGAAAATTTAACATGATGTATTCTTGTGAAAGATTCTAAGCCGATATTCAAGTAAACTGCTGTTTATTTACTACAACAAAATTTTACTAAACTAAATTTTAACCTAAACTTTCTTTATTAACTTGATTTCTTAATATTTTTCTACACATTTGAAGGTATATAGTGGAGGTTAGGTCCGAACAAATCAAAGCGTATTGTGAAAATGTTAAACAAATGGCTTGTGATCTTGGTTTCGAGGTGAGTTCAATTATGTAAGGCATGTATTTTATTCTAACTGACTTACTTATGAAGCCTTACCTTTTTATTACAATTATGTTTAAGGACAAGTTGATGATGAAAAATGTGTGTATATTCTTAAGAAAAGAGTTAGTTGTTCAGGATATTTCACTATCTGAGAAATGAAAACCTATTTATTAGCTAGTTCTTCAGTTGATATGTTGACCACGATGTTAAGATATTTTTAAATAATCATTCATCGATAATTCATCTATAGCAAAATCAGATTAAAATTTATTTTTAGTAAACGGTTGTGGAGATTATTGAGTTTTTATTCAGGTTAATAACTGATCAATGTGTAGACTACGATTAAAAACCTGGAAGTACTGAATGTCGTTTTTCCCTTGTATGGGACTCGTGGGCAACGTGCATCCACGATCCCGTACGTGAGACCCGGACCTAGGACCTTGTGTCTCATGCACAAACGCTTAACCTCCAGACCACTGAGTCGGTATGCAGCGGTGCTGATGTCTAACTTCAACCGATCCAGCGACCATCTTCTATTGTCTTCATTTGGCAGGCAACACGGAACACTATTAAAGATGGACGCTCAATATAGTGGATTGGTTGAAGTTAGACATTAACACAGTTGGATTCCGATTCAATGGTCTGAAGGTTAAGCGTTTGTGCATGAGACACAAGGTCCTGGGTTCGAACCCCGAATACGGGATTGTGTATGCACGCTGTTCACGAGTCCCATAGTAGGACGGAACGGCCGTCCAGTGCTTCCAAGTTTTTAAGCGTGGTCTAACATTGATCGGTTCATGGTCTCAATTAAACCTTTTTCTATTTTCTCATTAACCTAAGATATGTGGATATTTGTATTTCTCTGGAAAATACAAAGGAATTTCGCCAGAAAGTCGTGACTTTGTCGAGTTCTATAGATTGTTCAGTAAATCTATCACAACCAGAGTATCACCACCATACCTAGTAAAAATTGATACATCTTATAACTTGATGTTCACCTATCTGTTAATAGTACTACACCCTTCTTTTTTAAAGATCACACTATGTGTATTAAATAATAATGAAACTAATGAAACTTACTGTTGGTCTATGTGCGAAACATATCTATCTTGAAAAAGTGGGGCGAACATGGGCCATTGGGTATTTGTAATAGGTAATGGCTTCGCTCCATAGAAGAACTGCGTTCTCCAAATAAATTTCAAAGGTGGGACTAACATATGATAAGCTTCAGAACGGAGTAAATGCTGGTGAAATCCAACAGACTGTTGATAATGGGTAAGAAAACAACAAACGGTCGTGACTGAGTTTACGTGGACGTGACTTCAAAAATGAGGTATTGCGGGAATTCTTAGCTCCTTGCAAACTAGTTTACTTTATCTTCTGGATTTTTGAAATTCCTAGGCTAATAATAACAGGCACATAGGTGAGAATGGGAACGAAGTTTAATTTTATATAGCGTGAGAAAGGTGACACGGGAATGATTTTACAGTTGTTTTGCCTACTGAAAAGAAGTATGATATCCTATATTCTGGGCAGTGCTGGACAGACCATGTGCCGTTGCATGACCACATGGTGAGTGAGGAATGAAAATATAGGTAGCCCATTGTAAAAGCATTATTCATATCGCCATGGTTATGGCCCACGTATTTCTGTCTGGGTCATTTTTTACAAATGAATATGAAAGAGTTGTACGCATTAGTATCCCCTTTTGAGCGGTACAACTTCACATCCATTCTTGGTTTTCTTACTTTATATGGTATACTCTTCGAGGGTTTAAAAAGTGTTTGACGATATCTGAAACATACTGTACAGGACAACTACGTTATAGAAGCAGAGATCATTCATCTAACTCGTCGTATAAAAACTGATGTCAACATCAAATCTATTTTGGTGCAATAGAAGTTCGCTTCATCGCATCTAAGGATAATGAATAAATTATCTCATTTGTAGCTCTGGGAATTAATGAAGCTTGCGTAGGTGTTTTGCTTCGTTGAAAAATATCAGAGTTGGTATGACCAGAGAACAGGCAAAGTGCAGACCCACAGGGATTCGATGCCTACTTAAGTAATTGGGTGACTAGTTAAACACATTATTGATTATAATGATTTGTAACCGTGTTTATTTTTGTAGTACACAATAAACAGTTTTTGCTGATGATCAATAGAAATTCAAACTATTTAAAAAGACAGTAGTGTATCTATGAATTTTGTTTCTATCATGTTTGAACTAAAACCTGAGACTTATCTTATTCTCAGTCCTGCAATTAGAATTTAATTAAAAATTTTTTTACATACACCAATGAATTTTTAATCCATACGACGTGTTGCGTATGTTTGAACACCGATTACCACGACTAGTGTAGGGGATGGTTGGAAGAAAGTTGGGGGCGGCCAAACCAAAACGTAGCATCAGTGCTTGAAGTCACTAATTCCTAGTCTGATCCATGTTGGTAGATGCAGACCACTTGGTTAGAAGTCCGCGTGACTATCGTAACCAATAGTTGAAGACTCTGAGTGACATGGCTCAGGATCGATCACAAAGGCGTAGGTGTATACACCCTCTGTCTTCCTTTAAACTATGAGATTAAAACTGCTTCATATCTTTCTTTTTACGAACTAATTCTTTCTTCCTGTATCATGTCCTTATATGCAATTTTTCTTTTATATATTACCACCACTGAATTAACTACTTTTATGAATCCGGTGTTCATCTTGTTGTACTAATGCGGTATGGCAACTTGGACTGATGTACATATGTGCCTGGTCCTATGTTGTAGCTGACTGACTGACTGACATTTAAAAAGTAATTTAATTGAGTTAATCAACAGATATAACGACAAAATGTTCTTTTCTATCATTTTTTTCCTTTTTTATTTTAGTCTATTAAAGAAATAAAACCAATGGAGGATCATCATTTATATTTTCGATTTAGACGGAAATTACAATAACAATGTTAAATATAATGTATTCAGTAATATCATATGTATGATTATACTGAAACGTACTCTCTATTTCACAGAAGTTCACAACTTTGAAGATCAAATAAATGTATTTATATTTGTGTATTTGTTGTCAATTCTATTGTAATTATGAAAGCAAAAGCTATTCAAATTAATACTTTCTTGATTATATAAGCTAAAATAACAATAATTTACATTTACTATGATAACCTGAGCATATAATTTGAAAAACGGAATAGATTGTATATTCATGGTTCTCCTTTCATCTTTGAAAGTTTACTAGTTGTAATTGTGATGATTGATTGAAGTTAGAAAAAAAGTCATTGGAATTCAACTTATTGGTTCGAAGTTTAAGCGTTCTCAACGAGACTTGAAGATATTTGGTTAGATCCTTTTCGAGTTCGTGAATGAAAGTTGTTAGGAAGTCCCAAGACAGGAAGAAATTGATGTTTGGTGGTCCGTGATTTTCAATAGTTATCTAGCTAACTTCAATACATGAAGTAAACTAATTACATTAGGGTTGAGATAGTTTTCATGTATTCTACTTTATGAGATTGCAACAGCTTATGAACATCATTTAGTTCAAAGATCATTGTTAATTATTTAATAAGGAAAATCAAAATTCTGTTGTTGTCTTAAGTGACCGACAATGTCCAGTATGTTTAATATAATCATCAATGTTTCTCAATCGGTGGAGTTTTCTTCTTAGTAATAAATTCAGTGATCGGAGTATAATTTTCGGATTTTATTTAACTCGGATCTATCGATCAATTGAAAAGAGGCTTTTTTGTTTAAGAAACTTCTTTTGTGATGGATGGTCAGATTTATAGCTTATGGAAAAGCTGAAAGGAATGAGGTAGGAAGCCACATAATTCAATCATGGCTTACGATTATTAACAATAGGAAGTCTAGTTTTTTAGTCTTTTATTTCATCTAGTCAAGTCTAGATGTCTAAGATACTATTGAGTATGTGATGTCATATGTGTTATTGTCTACTTATTATATTACTATTGCTTAACAAAACTCAATTGTTTTGACTGAATTTGTCAGGTCTCTGAAATCAATCAAAGAATGAATTAATGATATATTTTATTTTGTATATTTTGGTTTGAACTAACTACTGATCAATATTTTCGGTATTGTTGTATCCTGATAAGAATAAATGAACGGTAATTTTCGGGATCCATTTATGGACCAATATTATGAGTACATTTTTATCGTATAATTGTTATGTAACTAAACTGTTCATATTCATGCCGCTCTTATTATGAGCTTTATTTTGACTTATGAACTATTAATATACGATTTACCATTCATGAATCATTCCTTGTCTGTTAATCGCTACCTCCCTCATTCACAGCCACATCTGGCTAATTCTTGTACAAATATTGTTTCATATTTTATTGGTACGTTGTGGTCGGTTTGATTGGTATATAAACTCAGTATGCTTGAAATATAATGATTTATATCTCAGAGGCTGAGACTTGTGTTCTGAACTCAAGTGGCTGGGCTAGACAGAGAAGCAGGGCCAATCAGAACTCTAGACTGCTCATTCAGTTTTCGTGTCATTGATCCGATCGATAAGTCGCTGCCGTCTAATCTGCAGTCACAGTCACAACACGTATATTAGTATATACCAAGTACCTGAATACACTAGTAGAAACGACATTTCTTTGAAAACAATAAACATCTCATGAAAAAGGTAGAAAACAAATATTTGATCGTTTCGGCTATCACGTTCTCCTTATCAGTAATGACAACCGTTATTCTCAAGATAAAAGAAATACGTTGATAAAGATTTAACTTTAATTAAAAGCGTAAACTAATCGATCATGCTTATAAATTTTATGCTGAATAGTTTCTAAAGTGACATCATAGTAACTTGTTCTTTTTCGCTAAATTAACAAAAGAAGAAACAAATATCCATTTGAGTAGTTCAGTTTGTCAATCACACATTGTTAAATTGATTTCTTACAAGAGAATGTTATCAGATAATTATTAATCTGCAAGTGTTGGCATTCATAAATTTCGATAAATTCCTTCTTAGGATAATTTGAATTATTTTCTACTGTGAATGAAAAGTTCTTCACAATAATCATCTTACAGACTACACAACTTAATTTGCTGATTCCTTGTTAGTAAATAGTTCACCATGTCATGTAATTCAATTTATAGTTAACAAAAAGATCTGATGTTGGTTGAACAACTGTTATAAACTAGAAAGCGCTATAGAGCTGCCTCATTCTAGTTTGGGACTCTTCAGTAGTGGGAATCCACGAACTCATTAAAAATCTTACCCAAGATATTCAAATCTTGTGGTGAGAGGCTGATCTTTAGATCACTGAGTCGGGACCCAATGGTTTATTTGTTCAAGAGGGATCAACTAAAGATATTTAGCAAACAACTTATGGTAGCATGGGGTATCCATCTAGATTCGGTCCCCAATGGGGTCGTGATAGCTCACTGCTTGAAAGTCTTAACAGGACAGCTTAACTTTCGCGTGCTTTCAAGTTTATAGTGTTTGTTTAGTTAAGAATAATCCCTGATGTTAATTAGAAATTCAAAATTTTAATGAATCCATATGTAGTAAAAGGTTGGTTTATGTTGCTATCTATTTTTTTCAATAATGAAAAAGAACGTAGAATGTAGTTTCAAACCAAAAATTCAAGTTATACAGCTTGTCAAACATGTATTCATTTGCAATCCTTGAAGAAGATGGCCGAATTAATTTAGTGTGCATACAACTTATCTTCTGTGGAAGGTTTCTGTTTTTAACAATAAACACTTTTAACACTACGAGTTTATAGTAGTATTTGTAGTATTAGTAATAGTAGTAGTTACTTAGTTACTTACATACCTACGCCTGTTACTCCCAATGGATCATAGGCTACCGACTAGCATTCTCCAACCAACTCTGTCCTGGGCCTTCTTATCTAGTTCTATCCAATTTTTGTTCGTCTTTCTTATGTCTGTCCCTATTTCTCGGGGTAATGTGTTCTTTGGTCTTTCTCTCCTCCTTTGGCCTTGAGGATTCCATGTGAGGGCTTGTCTTGTGACGCAGTTGGGTGCTTTCCTCAATGTGTGTCCTATCCACTTCCAGCGCTTCTTCCTCCGCTGGGATCTCGTTTGTTCTATCCCACAACAGGTTGTTGCTGATAGTGTCTGGCCAATGGATCCGAAGTATTTTGCGTAGACAACTGTTAATAAACACTTGTATCTTCTGGATGATGGTTTCCGTAGTTCTCCAGGTTTCCGCCCCATACAGTATAACTGTTTTGACATTTGTATTGAAAATCCTGACCTTGGTGTTGGTTGACAGTTGCTTTGAGTTCCAGATGTTCCTCAGTTGTAAATATGCTGCTCTTGCTTTGCCGATCCGCGCCTTCACATCTGCATCAGATCCACCCTGTTCATCAATGATGCTGCCCAAATACCTAAAGGTTTTTACATCTTCCAAATCTTCTCCGTCAATTGTGATTGGATTGGTGCATGCTCTGTTGTATCGGAGAATCCTGCTTTTCCCTTTGTGTATGCTGAGACCTACTGCTGCTGAGGCTGCTGCTACACTGGTCGTCTTCTGCGTTTGTTGTTGTGTGTGCGACAGAAGGGCCAGGTCATCTGCGAAGTCTAGATCGTTCAGCTGCATTCTAGCTGTCCACTGTATCCCGCGTTTCCCCTCAGAGGTCGACGTCTTCATGATCCAGTCGATCACCAGGAGAAAGAGAAAGGGTGAGAGTAAACAACCTTGGCTGACACCAGTCTTTACTTCGAATGACTTTGTCGACTCTTCTCCATGCACGATTTTGCAGTTTAATCCATCACAAGAATTCTGTATGTTAGTGACTATCTTCTGAGGCACGCCGTAGTGTCCAAGAAGCTTCCATAGTGTTGTTCTGTCCACGCTGTCAAATGCTTTTTTGTAGTCAATGAAGTTGATGTAGAGTGATGAATTCCATTCAATTGGTTGTTTCACAATGATCCGTAGAGCTGCGATTTGGTCTGTACACGATCTATCCTTACGGAATCCTGCCTGTTGGTCACGAAGTTGGGCGTCTACACAGTCCTTCATCCTGTTTAACAATACCCTGTTGAAAGCTTTTCCTGGTATTGAGAGAAGAGTGATGTCCCTGTAATTATCACACTTGCTGAGATCGCCTTTCTTTGGTATTTTGACCAGAAGTCATTTTTTACAGTTTGTTGGTACTTGTTATTCATCCCAAATCTTCCTGAGGAGGATGTGGAGTATCCTTGCAGTTACTGTTACATCTGCCTTCAGTGCCCCTGCTGGAGTGTTGTCTGGTCCTGCTGCCTTGCCGCTCTTGGTTTTTCTGATGGCCATGCTGATTTCTTCAATTGTTGGTGGGCCAACATCGAATGGGAGGTCCGTGGGTGCTACTTCGATGTTGAGTGGGTTCAGTAGGGCTGGTCGATTCAAGAGTTCGTTGAAGTTTTCTACCCACCTGTTTCGTTGTTCTTCGATGTTGGTTATTATTTTGCCCTCCTTGCTTTTCACTGGTCGTTCTGGTTTACGATAATTTCCAGCGAGTTTCTTTGTTGTCATAGAGTTCTTTCATGTTTCTTTCTCTTGCAGCCTTTTCTGCCGTTCTCGCTAAATCCTCCACATATTTACGTTTGTCGGTTCTGATGCTCCCCTTCACTTGTTTGTTTATTTCAGTGTATTCAGCTTGTGCCTTGGCTTTCTCTGCTCTTATTCAGCTGGTATTGATTGCTGCCTTCTTGTTCCTCCTTTCTTGAATCTTATCCAGTGTATCAACAGTGATCCATTCCTTGTGGTGGTGCTTCTTGTGGCCTAGAACCTCATGACATGTTGAAGTGATTGCCTCTTTGATCCCCTTCCAGTTGCTCTCCATGGTAGTTCCCTCTCCACTGAGTAGACCATGAAAGGCCTGGAACTTATTGCTGAGGACTATCTTGAATTTGTTGAGTTTGTCAGTATCCAGAAGAAAGGCTGTATTGAACTTTTGTGA